CTCTGGTATCTTTCGAGAGGCGCAGTAACTCGTATAGCGTAATCCTTACTGGGATATTAGCTAGCTGAGCCATAACGTCAAAACGATAGGGTGCGTTCGAGCTTTCCGGTTTATCTCGTCCAATCGGTCGGTTGAAACGAGACTGCTTCGGAACTTGAACCTCTTTATGTTGGGGTTCTTTCTCATTTTGCTTAGCCGGTTGTTGCGGCTTTTCAGCAGCTACTGGAGGAGTTACAACTATCCCCAGCTCCTTCAGAGTTGTAGCATTTGGGTTAGAGGTTTCAGGATATTTATAATGGTATTCATTACCACTCCTTGTAGCGAAAGATTCTTGTTCTTCGTCAGAAAACGGTAAAGCTGGAATCTGTTCATCATTCTTCTCCGGAATTGCCGAGGCTCCATAACAGGACTTCTCTTTCCGGTTCGGCTTGAAACCAGGATAAAGGAACTGATCCGAAGCTAATAGACACCGCATTCGCCCCTACTTTCTTCTCTTTCGGCTTCGGTGTCACGATGCCAACATCGATTAAGTTTTGTATTTTATCTTTTAAGACATAACACGCCTTAGTGGGATGGTGGACCCTTCTATGATATGCACAATACTTTGGGTCATTGATCTTCGTTGCTTCTTCTTGGTTTGTGACCGGCAGAAGCTTGATCTTGTTATTCTCTACCAGGTATTTGAAGATGACCGGAACTTCATCGTCCTTAAAAGAATACTCCTTCGGGAATTTAGGCTCTGAGGCCTTAAACTGTTTCGGAGGCTGTTGATTTTGATTCGACGCCAATTGGAAGGACGACTGTTGTGGTTGTTGTTGTGGCTGTTGCGATGTTTGATGCGCATCAACAGCAGCCCCAGACCCTCTTCCTCTGCCTCGAGAATTAAAGTTTTGTTTTTGAGGATTATCTTGTGGCAGTCCTCTCTCCAACTTCTTTCTCTTAAGAAAACGCTCGGCTTGTTCACCTCTCACTTTCAACTCCTTCCAAGTTTTAGAAGGCACAACCCCCATGACTTATAATAAATCCAGCGACAAGTTATTGTGACATGTCTGCAGGATAAAATCTTCTGTTAGTGGATCTCGGCAGTTTACCGCTTTGTTCCAGAATCGTTTGACGAAGACATCAACCGACTCTCCATTTATCTGCTTCTCATCCAACAAGGTGCCAATTGAGACCTCCGTGTCATCATCGAAGAAATTGGTTAGGAACAATCCTTCCATATCTTCCCAGCTAGTGATGCTCCCGGGTTTTAAACGTCGGTACCAATCGAAGGCAGGCCCGCGAAGGGTTCCTACGAATGACCGGACCATCAAGGCTTCATTCCCGGATATTGCGCCGAGATGCGACTTGAAATAGATCAAGTGCTGAGTGGGTGAACCCCTGCCATCAAAAGGAGTAAAGTTAATCAAATTAAATTTTAGGGGATAAGGAATCAAGTCCCACTCCCTCGGATACGGGTATGGAATGCCCGTTTTCTTCACTTCTTGGGCAGTCATCAGAGCGTTAACTTTGCTCTCGAGATCATGCATCTTCTTGTCCTCTTCCTCACTCTTCTTCAAGTAGATCTGTGGAGGTTGAGTGGATGACTTGACCGGACCGCTTCCGGAATTATCTTTATCTCGAGGAGGATCGTCAAAGATAGTCTCATCTTCTTCATTACGCCGGCTAGATTCTGCTCTTTGGCTTGATTCCGGTTGGTGTTGCTGAACCTGCAAATCTCGCATCTGCTGCATAGTCAACTCCATCTCGGTTTTGAATTCAGCTCTAATTTCTTCGTGTTGTTTAGCCAACGCTTCTTGCAGTATGTGAGCCAGTTAATCCGGCGTGATTGCAAATGATTCTCTGACTTGACCGACACTGGATGCAGTATCATCCGAAGCGACAGCAGAACAAACATCTGATATTTCTTCATCTGAAGATAACCCTTCGTGCATTTTCTTGTAGTCTCGACGTCGGTTGGCTCTTCTTTGTAGCCGTAACATTCTTTGAGATAGACCCCGCTCAACTCTCCCTTCCAAAGTGAAATCAGGATCAGAGTTAACTAACTGTTGCTTTCCTCTGCCGGTCATATTAATAGTGACCTCAGGGAATTCATCTCGTCGAATTGTAGGTTTCTTCTTGTTGAAACGCCTCATTTTGGGTCTTGACGCCTCCATAGACAATCTTTGAAATACGGAGACTCTTGACTTAGTTTCAGAGCAACTGCATTCCGTCAGCACGGCCTTAATGAGTCTTTCACAGGAACAGTGAGACTCATTTTCTTGTACAAATTTTTTTCTTGAATTATTTTTCTGATAGTACAGCTCATCGTTATTGTGACTTGAGCAACCTATCTTTTGTTTTTGAACTTTGTTAACGTGCACAGGACGACTGGTCGTCACCTCTGGGCGATCCAAAGTTGAATTTTTAAATCCACCCTTTTGCGAGTGTGGAGCATTCATAGGTCCTAAACGAGAATGAACTGGTATTCTCTCGTTCTGGACTGGTGCAGTTCTGACAGGAGGGTGTTTACGACCCCCTGTATAAGAAATCACTAAGGGTTTATTTGCTGGATCTAGGTTTTCTCTGACCGGGGCTTTGCCTCGCTCGTCAGTCGAAGGACCGAGGCGATCCGCCATGGTGATCTTGAACTTGGATAAATCTGGGCTAACCCAGGGTTTCACTGGTGATGCAGCAGACGTTGTTGTAGTAGAAGGGACTGGATCGGGTGTCGATGGAATCAAAGATGCGGGTTTGCGACGGAGATGACCATCACGGCCAAATGAAGTGCCGCGACAGTCAGAACTGTCGCGGTTGAGCAGATTACCGTGACAGCCATGACTGCTGCGGTCGTATAAATTGCCGTGGCGGTGTGGGCTGTCGCGGTTAGGGGCTGCATCGTTCTGTAATTTTTTTGCATTTTTAGTTTTGGGAACCCAAGTTTTGCAGTTCTTCGATGGCTTTTCAGACACCATTTCCTTCTTGTTCCTCTGCGCTTGTTGACGAAGGGCACGAGCGCGAGCCGCCTTTGCTTGACGTCTTTGTATACGCTCTTTGAGGGTAGAACGGGCTCTTTTGACAAGAGTCCATTCCTCCGTCGTAAGCTGTGCAGAGATGTGATTAGTTTGCCGTTGAGGCAACTGGTTCACTTTTTGTTTCCTCGACTTTAGGTCCGCATAGTAATGGACCCCATCGGTTTGCTGTAAGGCCTTAGCCAATTGACGAGCACGGCGCTGGCGCTGTCTCTGACGAGCTCTTTTCGTCAGCACCGGTGAACTATGATTCAGTGACTCCTTAACTGGTGTGGGGTCACTTGGAGCAGAAATGTTGCAGGCGGATTCCTTGGAGAGAACCTGGCAAGAATCTTCACCTGCGGTCTTCGTCGGAATTGAAGACTTAGAAACTTTCTTGGGTGAAGAAATCTTCCTACACCTGCGAGGCGAGGGAGATTTTGAGGATGAAGATGACAGATACTCCTCAAATTTTGCCTGATCGAACTCATATTCGATCTCTTTCGTGACAATGATCTTAATTGGCTGCGACACTGCGGCCTCGGCAGCGAGGCCGCTGGCTCCCACTGTGGTCGCCAGTTTGTTTTCAGCGAAAGTTGACTCCATTGTCGATTCCATTAAAACTTTGATTCGTTTACAGGAAATTACAATGAAAATAAATGAAAATACAACTCTCGAGAAAATAACACAGAAATTGTTTATCAACTCATGCTTTGTGGGACTTTGCCTGTGCCGGGAGTGATTTGGCTCGTTGACCACCGATTCACAGATCGTGAGGGTGTTTGGGGATCTTTCCTTCGTTTATCGAAGTAAAGATTTGAAAGCGAATATCTTATCGATGTAAGATGTTCACTCTTCCAAAGATCAAGTCTGAGCTTAGATCTCTAGGAATCACCAAATGATGCTTGTCAAAAGGTGAAAATTCTCTCTTTCTTCCTCAAAATCAACAAAAGCTCAAATCTCTTCTGCTTCAAAATGCTCTCTCCTTTATTTCGTGTCTAGTGAGGTATTTATAGGGGTCTGAGTGCACCACAGTTGAAACGGGGGCAAAATAACCGACCGGATGTTTTCTCTTTGGCCGCTGCAGTCTACACTGCCGCGGCTATTGGCGCGGCAGTATAGGCTGCCGCGGCCAAAAGACGGTTGCCCAGCACATTCATCGCTGGCTTGAAACCGTATCTCCCACGACCTTTAACGCGGCACCATGTCCTGCCGCGCCTCAGACGCGCCGCCGTGTGCTGCCCGTTGGTGTGTACATTGTTCTTACTTCTTTTGAATGATCCCTTCTAATTAAGAGAATGGCGTTTATCGTCTTCTCTTTGCCTTGAGTAGTATTTGGATGTCCGTAAGCATTTTTTGACGCCTACAACAGCAAGTGAAGGAGGAAGACTATTCAAAATAGTTGCCACTTGCATTCTTTCCGGGATTTCGGTCCCAGCAGTTGATAAGTCCTTAGCCATGACAATCATTTTATTTATATGTTCTACGACATTGTCTCCCTCTTGCATACGACAAGAATTATACTTATGCAAGAGGAGTTGAATGTTAACTTCAGAAGCAGTGTCGTATTTTTCTTTTAGCAAGAGGAGTTGAATGTTAACTTCAGAAGCAGTGTCGTATTTTTCTTTTATTGCATTCCACATGTCCATAGAAGTCTTATACGTTTCAAAAGTTTGATTAAGTTATCTTCCATGAACATGAGCATAAGACTTTTCGCCCTTTTATCTTTCGACTTCCACTGTTCAAACCCTTTCTTTTCTTCAAGTGTTGATTTATCAGTAAGGGTTGAAGCAGTGGTTTCGATTATATCATCAATATTGTCATGAATAAGAGCATATCCTATTTTTCTATGTCACATATCATAATTACTGCCATTAAATTTGTCAATTTTGCCTAGTTCTGATAGAACGAGTTTACTAGCCATTCGGTAGAGAACTAAAACTAAATTCAATTTTAAATTTGTATAAGGTTGATATTTTGGCAAATACACAAAAAAATTAGATAAATAAATTAATTAATTAAAATGAACCTGATTTTTGTGAGCTGATGAAAGAGGCTCCAATTTGAGCGAGTTTGTCACTTAGCGGTGTTGACCGAAGAGTCTGTTGTCGAAGCTTTGACGTCTTGAGAGCAAGTCACCTTCTTCAAATGCTGAGGCAGTGGGACCCGTGGGCTTTAATCTTGAATTTGAACAGGTAGGTCACAAGTAGGCCTTGAAGATGATCAAAGTGGGTAGTACACGTGCTAGGAGTAGGCTATGACACGTGATAGGAGTAGGGTCACAAGACTATGAACAAGTCTAAGTCCGGCTTATGGGGGTTGGTTGTATAGATTGGATGTAGGACCCAAAAACAAAAGGATGTAGCCTTAACAAATTAAAAAGGAAGAGATGTGACAAGACTTGAGGAGGCTATAATATATGCTAGATGGACGTGGACATGTGGATGTAGGTATAGGCTTTGTAGATGTAGCAAAGAGCTAGGCTTGTAGATGTAGGCCTGAAGTGGACTTGATGTAGGACTGAACAATATGGATGTAGGCCGGCAAAAAAATTATGAAATGATACTTATTTGAAGCAATACCCAGTAAACAATAGACAGCCCATAGGAACAGATGCTTCTTCTTCAACCGAATTGTTCTTCTTTAACAGAGAGCTTCTTCTTCAAGGAGTTGGAGAGAGAGAGTCTTCTTTGTTGAAAAAAATAGCAGGATTCCGAGATGATGAAGAACCTTAAGTTCTGATACCAGTCTTTGAACACAGAGAAGAAGAGAAAAACAATGGATTTCTTTGAGGGGCTCCGGTAATGGGTAAGTGGTTTTTCTTTTTTGTTTTCGTTATGCTTTCTCAAGGAGAATGATCCTCCTTATATAGGGGCTAAACCCATCATCTCTACCCCTCAGATCCACCCCCCATGAGAGATTTTCTCTCAACCACCCATGATTCACGTTCTCCACTATTCTCTCAACAGAGAAACCGTGGTTGATTTGGTCATCAATGACCGAGTCAAGCTAACAACCCTAGCTAAACCCAGACCTACGTATACATCAAAAATGATTTCTTAGAATTTTTTTCATCATTCGTAAAATGCACATCAGTAGGCCGATACGAATTTATGGCTTAATGTATCATTTTAATTTTGATATATCCTTTATTTTCATTTTTCTCAATTTTGAGGTTCCGTGTTTTTTTAATACAATTTCTGATCTTTTGAAAATGAGTGGACTCTGAATACAAAAAAGCATGCTAATCGCTTGTGTCGAAGCAAATTACATTGGCCTGTCACAGAGAAGTATGCATGAAAGCTATATACATAGCCAGATAGCCTTAAGAACTCGTCAAGGGTCAACGATATAATTTCAGCCTTGTCGCATTATAAAAATTACTTCATGCTTCCTGATGCTAGACTAAAATTAATAACTGGATCATAAATGATTCAAAGACCCACAAAAGCGGAGCAAACGCCAAAGTCGTCTAATTCTAAAGGTAACATCACAAAGCTTGAGAGAGCTATCTCCCACTCGGCTTGCTCCCTTTTGCGTTATCTATTTTCATTTGAGAACCGAAGATTTGAATTCTAGCATCCTTAAAGCATCCAACACCTTAACAATATACTACGAGCTCCACTCGCTATTTGAATGTTTGTCTTGTCCCAAGCCGTCTAAGTGCCCGGCCCGGCCCGACCCAACTAACCCCTAAGATAGGGGCCAAACATGGGCTATCCGTTTTAAGAATGGGCAGACGTGGGACCATACGCCCACACGTGGACATGTTTAACCGCGAGTGGCAGAGCCAGGACTCGAGAGAGAGTAGGATCCATAACTAACAGCTGGTAACGATAATATTAAAAAGTAAATATATTACATTAACATATGGAGGTAGTTCCGGAGGAACAATAAAGACATTGACAAATTAGAGGGGTCCGTGTGAATTCTGCTATCAAAAATGAGGTTGTCCGATGTTTTTTTTATAAGAACTAGTATGATTGCACGTGCGCTACACTTGTACTCATTTTCATTTATTTACACAGGCCACAAGTGTAAATTATAATGATAATTTTTGTATGCATTTAAGTGCAAAGTAAAAACAATCCAAAAGATTTGGTCAACTAATGAGCATGCCTTGAATTTGATAACAGTTTGTTAACTAGTTATATGAAACTTATTTATTATAAAATATATTTTATGTTAAAAATTAAGATAACTACAAAAATTAGTAGGAAGTTCTAAAAAAAGTTAGTAGAAAAATACTGCCAATATATTAATTCTCAAGCAATTCTGTAATCATATAACACATATAGATTTTCTAATTCAAAAAAAATGAATAAATATTTGTGTCGCTTCTTACATAGTAGCAATTAATTTTTATTAAATTATGCGATTTCTAGGATTTTCTAGATTTTATCATTTTGGACTAAAAAGAAATATCTTATAATCTATACCAAGTTTAAGTTATTTATACCATGAACTATTAGGGACTAAGGAACTTATGTAAATATTGGAAAATTATCTATTATTGCATTTTTTAATAGCTAGCAAACTCAAACTAAGAAACTCATGTGATATAAATGACTGCTTAAAATTTAGTGTGATATAAATACTTGCTTAAAATTATAGTATTACACCAAATCCTCACACCCTGAGGCAATAATAGCATAAAGGGTGTTGCTACAGGGACCCAAATGGGGGACCCAAGGCATGGGACATGTGAGGTGTCATCATCCGGTTGTATGATGCACTATTCATGCAACCGGATGATGACACCTCACATGTCTCATGCCTTGAGTCCCTGAGACATTAATGTAGCATAAATGCACTAACTTCCAAACCCTAACAACTTATCATAATCTTAGTGCTAGATGCAAATTAAATCCATATATGAAGTATTTAAACCAATTGAAATGGTTGATCGAACTGTTATTCATTCCATACTCAACCCAACATAGATTCTTTGAGTCGCCATTTTAATAATTTTTTTGTGGCAAACTCTATCCGACGCAATAGCTTAAAAAAAATATGTACAATAGCTTAAAAATATGACATTTAACATCATGGAGGATTACATATAAGAATTCAATAAAACTGTATCCATCATAAGAGCAACAACTTTACATAAAAAAAGGTTATCAAAACTAACATACATGTAACTGCATAAATATATAATTAGTATCAAAGCTTCTTCCCAATTTTGAAAAGTTTATTCAAATCATTGGAAATGACCATGGATATCTATATAAGCTCCAAATGTGACACTATGCTCTTCTCTGTTGCCCTCAGACTTGTCCTCGTTGCCTCCATCCTCATTGCCCTTAAAACACCTTCCTTGCCTCTTCGATCGATATCAAATGGTCATTGTTCTTTGCAGGTAGAGATAGGTGTGGGTATAATTGTTAGATATTTTGTTAAGAAAAGATAATTTTGCCTTCATGAATAGTAATAAAATTTTATAATTAAAACATGTTTTAATTAGCAATTAAAAATATGTGTAACGGCTATATAATTATGGGGAACGTTACAAAATATATGACGAACGTTACGGAATTAATTACGGGTTTTGTAACGTCTTTTCCAACCCTATATATATATCCGTATGTTGAGCTCAAAATGATAAGAAAAAATATACAACAAATTTCTCTTGTTTTTCTTCTCTCCCCTACATATTATTTTCATCTACATCTTAGTTTTATTTTATGGGTAACTTCCTTCATCTGAGCTAAAGCTCTGCACTCTCGCCCGAGTGCAGAGGCCGGCCGTTTCCGGGGGCTTTTACCGCTAGGGGGGAGGGAACCATCTGCGCCAGGGCGATAGGCGGGTTCTCAATCTTCTAGGTAGTGAATACACGACTGCTCCCGTCAGGCCTGATTTTCTTATTTCTTACTTATTTAATTCGGATTTAATTTATATGCTATAACCTTTGTTTTTATAAATTTTCCAACAGTCTAGAAGATTAAGTATTCATAGTTGTTAATTTTTAAAACCCAAAAAAAATTTAAAAACTACTGTTCATCAACAGTTTACTGTTCATCAACAGTTTACTGTTCATCCTAAATAAATTATATTTTGTAATTAGTTGCTTTAATTACTGTTAATTATTTTTAAAAAATGTTACTGTTCACACAAATGTTACTGTTCATTTATTTTGAAAACGTCGATACTGTTCGTTTTATTTCAAAAGTTACTGTTCATGTAAACAATTTTGGTTATTTTTTTTTAATAAAAAAAATTAATAATTAAAAAATTGTAGCTAAACATTTCTGTTAGTTTAATTTAACAGTTAATTACATTTATCATATAGTTGTTTTATAATCAATAATTATTGCAAGTTACGAATATCAAAGAACCTTTATTGGTTTCTAGAAGCCTAGTTTATATTTGTTAGAATCATCTAAAACCTACCCTTATCCCCTTATGCTAGTGAATATGCTCGCATTTGAAACATGCTATAAATTTGCAGTAATGCACATTTTTATTCTTAAAAATTTCATATGCATGGTTTTGACAAGAATAAAGAGAACAAACTCTGGTTGCATAGATGCTTTGAAATATCTGGATTTGTTCATGGTTTAATACTTTCATTTCTTTAAGCTATCAATAATATGGTGTCTTCTATTAATAATTCCATAGTTTAGTGTATTTATGCATCTAATAAGCTTAGTACAAAAGGTGGTAAAAGTGAATGCAAATTTGTTCAGCAACTTCTGTGGCAGTTGTCTGCAGCAGATGGGTTTTAGGTGGTAAAAGTGAATGCAAATTTGTTCAGCAACTTCTGTGGCAGTTGTCTGCAGCAGATGGGTTTTTTACTCTCAAGACATGAAAATCATGAGGTTCGAATATCAATAGGTAAACCCCTCCTCGGCCTTATCCAACATATGTTTGCAGTATAATTGCTAGGCAATTTAAATGATTGCAGGAAATAATTTAAAGTTTCTATATACTGTTAAGGAACAAAAACTCATTGAGTGAACCGATTTAAGTTTTCTTGGATTAGTTGGTGTCTAAGGCAAGGTTTAAGGGTTACGTAATGCGCTCTGCAAGGAACAAGGTACTTAATTGATCTTTGATTAACCTCTATTACTATCCTTACCTGGCTAACTACCCGGGTAAAACTTTAATCTTTTCACTTTAGGAGTTTTTGGTTTGGAATAAGAGGACCGGAATTATGAGAATAATTCATATGCATTTATTTAATTACGCTTCTTGTATCATATATTGCCTAATGATAAATGATCAATATATGAGCGAACCAAATCAAAGAAATCTTCAAATGTAAAGTTCATCTATTTTATTGCGTTATGATGGATATTGCAATAAATGTTCATATGTCCTTTTAGATAACTTGCATTTGTTACATGATTAATTACAAGGTTTTATGCAAGAATGCACTTGTAAAATTTAAAGCACGTATGTACAAATATTATTATTATTATTATTTGTATAAGAGGTGGTACTAGAAAATGGCAACATAAATTTGGAAGATCTCTTTTGTAGACAACCAATTTAAATTTGGAAGGTCTCATTTGTAGGCAACCAATTTAAATTTGAAAGGTCTCATTTGTAGGCAACCGATTTAAATTTGGATGGTCTCCTTTGTAGGCAACCAATTTGTAACCTCTTATAATAGAAGAATTTTTAAAAATTTTATGCATATGAATTATGAAGTATGAAATATATTGTTCTCTTGAATGCTCTGCATGTATCTATTATTAATTTCATTCATGTATGTGCATATGCATAACTGCAGAATTTTTAGTTCCACATTAGTTTGAAATGTTCAAATATTAAGGTCAATCTCTTCAGACATAGACTATGAT